GAGTAGAGGGTTACTTGGCAATATTTTTAAAGATTTAAAATGCTCGCGTGCTAAAACCCAGAAACTGCCCTTTATGGTAACTACGCGTCCAAAAAAGGCATCTGTATAAGAACAACCACTGCATCACCGTTCTGCAACAGCCTAAATTGGAAATGATCTATGTGTTGATGAATAGAGGATTATCTAAATAAATATATAAATCCATACTAGGAAATACCAGAAAGCAATTTGGAAAAAGGAAATAAAGGACAACTTGGGAAAGCTACATTCAATCAAAGAATAGATTGCCAAGATATGTCATTGAGTTGGGAATGGGGGGAAAGAAAGTTGAAAGATGATCCATACAATATAATGCAAGTGTAATTTTTTACAAGCAAGTGTAATTAAAAAAAAAACACGAACTTCATTATTTTCAACGAGTTCATATATGAAATGTACAGAAAAAGGCTTGAAGGAAAAACAAAAGCGATGGGAAAAGGGATGGTGAAGGAATGGGGTTGTCAAAGGGGCCTTTAAGCCTTCTCTGTAATGTTTTAAATTTTTGGAAGGCAAGTGAATTTATGGATCACTTGTTTAGTTAAAATGGTTGCTTTTATACTTAAAGCAGTGGAGAAGGCAGCATCTTCGCTCAGCGGGCTCACAATCTTTTAAATGATGTGTTAGAATATATTTTAGTATGATCTGTATAACAATCAAATAGTAACAGCAAACACTTATTGAGTTCTTATTATGTACCATGGCCATATGTTTATTAAATCATTTAATTGTGACCACAGCCCTAGAAGTAGAGACAATTACTATCCCTACTTCATAGGTGTGAAAACAGGCCCGGAGTGACTGGACCAAACCCAGAAAGCTAGTGAATTTGGAACAGAGATTTGAACACATATTTCTGACTCTGGAGTCTAGACTTAAGTACTCTGCTGTACTGTCCAAGTATAGAGAGAGCATACATGATCTACAGAGGTAGGGTTGGGATTTGGAAATGTGAACTTGGTAGGGGGTACTATGGGAGGAGTCCCAATTATGGCAGACAGGGCTACTTACCTACAATATATCTATGTCATCTTCTTTTTCCACTAAGAGAACCCTGACTTGCCCTAGCTCAGTGGTCGACAAACTCATTAGTCAACAGAGCCAAATATCAACAGTACTTCTTCAAAATAGACTCGCCCAGGCCGAAAACCGACTTCTGCACATGGGCCAAGAAGTTTCAATCGCACTGTACACGCGCCCGCACGTGGTATTTTGTGGAAGAGCCGCACTCAAGGGGCCAAAGAGCCGCATGTGGCTCTCAAGCCGCAGTTGCCAACCACTGCCCTAGCTGATTTGGCTCAGTGGATTGGCCTACAAACTGAAGGGGCCTGGGTTCAATACTGGTCAAGGGCATATACCTCGGTTGCATGAGGGAGGCAACCAATCAATGTGTCTCTCTCACTCCCCGTAAAAATCAATGGGAAAAATATCTTCGGGTTAGGATTAAAAAAAAGAGAGAGAGAGAGAACCCTGACTTGATGTTGGGTGTTCCTCAGTTAAAATTCTCACAGCTTCCTTTGCATATAGAGACAGCCAGGTGACATGGTGCTGGCCAATGAGACGCTAGCAGAGGATGTTTGCAGGAAAGCTTGCTAAAGGAGACATCGCAGCTGGATAAGTGTCACTTTGGCCTTTTGCCGTTCACCATTCATCCCTTTTTCTTACCTAGAACACGGATATAATGCTGGGAGGTGCCATCTTTAGGCCACGAGAAGAGCCACTTACTAAAGATGAAGCACAAGCCCTTAAGGTGTCTGGTACACCCTGACACTGCTGTGTAGCCCTGGTGGCTACCTCTGATTTCTTATGTGAGAAAAATAAACCTCTTTGCGGTTAAGCCCACAGTCACGCCCATGCTGACAAAGGCAGTTTAACGAGCACCGTGGGGTCTGGAGAGGCTCATCCTTGGGAAAGAACAGAGATGCCTGAAAGGTCTTAGCCTATCCTGGCTTTGAAAATGTAAAAGAATTGCTGCTCTACTCCAAGTTCCCCTGGGACCACCAGGCCAAGGGCATGTATCAGCCTACACCCGGCCATCAGACAGACCTCAAAGACACGGAGAAATGCGGAAGGGAGCCAGGAAGTCCACGGAGCTTAAAATCTCCCTTAAGCAAAAACACAGGGCAGGGTTGAGTATCTGCAATTTGATTCCAGTGCTGGGGGGTATAGATCCCATTCTACTTATAGCAGCAGCAAGTGCAAGTGCAGCAGCGGGAGGAGTGGGGCTCTGGCAGCTGTGTTTTGAACCTGCCTGGGCAGCTCCCTAAACACTTGTTTCAAAAACAGGCAAGAGAAGGGGATATTTTTTGGGGGGGTGGAAAGGCATTTAGGAGAAGGGGAAAGAATGGTATACACTCTGGAAATGGACTACTAAGGTCTCAACTCTCTGCAGGTGATAGTTCCCAAGCCAATCTTGGACTTGTCAGATGGGCCAAATCTCTCCTAATGAGACTCCCCGAGCCGGATCACTCCTTATGCCTGGGGTTGGCCAAAGGTCAGCTAGACTGGACTTAGAGGCTGTTTCAAAGTCAAAAGGAGACTGAAGAAGATACAAGAGTGGCAGCCACTGACACTAAAGGGGAGGATGGAGCATTGTGAGAAGGACTTAACTGGTGGAGCACCTCAGAGAGGCCAGGGAGAACTGGGATGTGGCCAGGCGGCCCCGGAATGTAGGTAGCTGGGGTGGACCATCCTTTCCTAAAGTCTGGCAGTGAAAGGAAGGAACAAATAAGGTGGCAACTTAACAATATTGTGGAGGAAAGATGGAAGGTGGGTCTGTCTAGGTCAGTGGTTCTCAACCTTCCTAATGCTGCGACCCTTTAATACAGTTCCTCATGTTGTGGTGACCCCCAACCACAAAATTATTTTCGTTGCTACTTCATAACTGTAATTTTGCTACTGTTATGAATTGTAATGTAAATATCTGATATGCAGGATGTATTTTCATTGTTACAAATTGAACATAATTAAAGCATAGTGATTCATCACAAAAACAATATGTAATTATATATGTGTTTTCCGATGGTCTTAGGTGACCCCTGTGAAAGGGTCGTTCGACCCCCAAAAGGGTCGCGACCCACAGGTTGAGAACCGCTGGTCTAGGCAAAAGAAGTAGAAAGTAGCTGTAGGACTGAAGGGGCAAACTGGGTGGGAATTTTAGATTATGACAGGTTGCAGCCATGTCCCTCTGCCAGCCCATTTCCCAGGGTGCCTGCTGTCCCTGTTTTGCTGTTAGGATCCCTCCATCATTTTTGCTGTTAGGATATTTCAGAGAATTTGAACTTCAACTAGACAATCTTAAAAATCTAAACATTTGTAATGTCCAAAGGCATAAAGTTAAATGGTAGAAACTGAGTGACAAGGGATCATTTAAATGACACTACATAGAGCCAGCTCTTGACAGAAACTTGAGAGTATTTTCCAATAATTAAGTAGAGGTCAGAAACCTAGAACTTGGAAATGAGAAAGAAATGTGGGTTACCTATTCCAAACCTTGGAAATGAGAAAACTGAAGGTCAGAGAGGGGAAGTGAGTTGCTCAAGTCACCCAGCTAGTTTGGGGATCATAAAAGCAAATGCAGAGCGCATATACCAGGAACTTCACATTCACATGCCTTAAATTTTTACATCAACCCTACAAGGTAGATAATCTAACAGGCAAAGCCACTGACTTGAGGCCATACAGAATCAGTAAAAGGGCAGAGCTTGGATCTGAACCCACGCAATCTGGCTCCAGAGAGTCTGCTTTTAACCACTACTCTTCATTCCCTGGGTCCACTCTCCCAAGCTACCTCCCCTGCCTGCCACCTCCCTTCAATGTCAACAGAATGTCCTCACCTCACTCCTGCTCTGATGGAGGCAGGCAAGAAGGATGGTTCTTTGGTGTAAAAAAAAAAATAGCAGAAGAAGAATAAAGGGGAGATGCCCGCCCTGGAGGACAGGAAGGGGTGGAGGAGGTAGCTGAAGAGGGTCGGGGCCTACAGCCTCTGCTGTGTTCCAGGAGGGACTGGCCTTGTCTTCCTGTCTGGTAGTTTGGAGCAGGAAGTTACAATGAATGTGGAATTCATGGAGACTTGGTGAGGTGGGGGTGATAAGCCGCAGGAAATGATATGAAAAATTATGATCATAAGCATTTTTTCACATCCCACTTCCTCCAATATAAAAGCTGATCTAGAATGAACCAGGCTCTTGCTGTTGCCCTCTCCCACACCTCCTGGGATCCCAGGAAAGACAGCCAGGATGGAGGCAAGAGCTAGGGGGCTGCAGTTAGGAGACCGGGGTCCAAATGCTGGCTCTGCCTCTTAACTTGCTGTGTGCACTTAAGCAAAATAATAATTGCCTTCCTCTTCTTCTTATCACCAGGAAGTAGGAGACATAGATGGCATATCATAAACATGATGGACTGCAAAAACACAAAACACAACATCCAAACAAAAACTGAAAGCACAGCAACACAGTATGGGTTGTTTAGTCTTGTGATCACGTAGCTCACGGGAGCTGCAGCTGGTTGCTGCTACCCAGCATTAAGAGACAAGGATGGGCCCTGGCTGGCTTGGCTCAGTGGACAGAGCATCAGCCTGCGGACTGAGAGGTCCCAGGTTTGATTCCGGCTAAGGGCACCTGTCTGGGTTGCGGGCTCCATCCCCAGTGCGGGGTGTGCAGGAGGCAGCCAATCAATGATTCTCTCTCATCATTGATGTTTCTATCTCTCTCTCCTTCTCCCTTCCTCTCTGAAATCAATAAACAAATATATTTTTTTTAAAAAAGAGAGAGAGAGGATGGTATTGATTATCATTAGCCCAGGAAAAGATCACAATTCAAAATTCAAAGTAAAGGTTCTAATGTACACGCATCGCTTTGCAACATAATAAAGTTGAAAAATTGAAAAATGGTAAGTCAGTGACATACAGGTATATTACCTCTTGAAGCCTTAGTATCGTCATCTGTTAAGGGACAGTAACCTACCTCTCATGTCGGAGTCGTGAGAATCAAATGAAAACTAGCTGTGATCGAGTGCACGCAGCTGGAGCTTGGCGTGTAGCTGGCAGGCCCTCAGACTGTTGATCACATCTGGATTTGGGGAGACACATTCAGGGAATACCTGAGCAATGGCAAGACTCTGAGACAGAGGGTCTTAGTGGCAGCCGCTGGTTGAAAGAGAGGCTTGGGCTATTTGAGTTGAAGCTATATTTCCAACAGCAAGCACACCGTTGTTTTTCACTTTGAAATTTATTTTTACTTAAAAATTCTATTTTGTCATAACATAAACCTCCTTGTTGAGAAATTAATTTTAAATGTTTTCATTATAAAATGCATTCTCATTATTAAACATTTATAAATGTTATGAAAATCAACCATAATTCCCTCATTTAATTTTAACATTTACTATATTTCACTGCTTCCAGTGCATGTTTTTCTTTGTTTTGACTCTGATAAGATGTTGATAAAAAACTAATTAGGTTTTGTTTGCTCATGGGAAAAATTGTAAATATAAGTCATATAAATAGATATAAATATATAGAAAGAGAGAGACTTTTATTTTAGGGAATTGACTCACATGATTGTGGAAGCTGGGTGAGCCTAGCCCTAGAATCTGATGGGTTAGGCCAGCAGCTGGAGATTCAGGGAAGAACTGCAAGTTGAGTCTTGCTCAAGGGACGTCAATCTGTTTCATTAAGGCCTTCAACAGACTGGATGAAGCCAACCTCCATTATTAAGGGTAAATTGCTTTACTCCAAGTCCACCAATATAAATGTTAATCTCATCCATAAACATCTTCACAGGATCATCCAGAATAATGTTTGATCAAGTGTCTGGGCAACATGGCCCAGCCTAGTTGATACATAAAATTAACACTTTGTAAAAACCTTTAGAAATGAAAACTATGAGGTTCAAAGGAACTCTGTATTACATGAGTCGTTTCTTACACATTAGCTGCATTCGTGGAAACAATTCCAGGTGTTCATCCTTGAGCACGTTCAGCTTAACTCCAGGAGTTCTCTAGTAGGCTGTAGCAGTGTGTGTGGAATGGGTTTCCTCTCTGGAGTTAGCAAGCACACTGCTTTTCCTTAGATTATATGATGGGGTTGGGGGCAAGTAGAGTTGATGGAGATTGTGGTGAGGGGTTAAATCACATGGTGGGGTCACTTGGCTTGAAGGAAACAGGAGGGACGATGACATTCTGACTGTGCCTCCTCAGGAGATAATGAAATGTTCTCGTGTTTCTCTAGACCACGACCTCTGGAAAGCATGCCAGCCCAATCCTGATGCTCTAACAAAGTTCCATCATCCCAGAAGGGGGCTTGAGGTGGCCAAGGCCATAAAGGAAATTAAAACTCCGGCAACAGTGGAGAAAGACTTCAGGCCAAAGAGAGGATGGAAGTTGGAGCCATGAGCTCTGCTATTTCTATCTTCTCTGGGATTACAGCCAGGCTGGCAGGCATCTCTATCAAGAAAAATTTGCAGAGCATAAGAGCCAGTAGGTCACATGGATCTGACGAAGGCACAGCCCCACCCCTGCCCCACCTCCCAACACATGTCATCAGCAACCTTAGTCATCCCCATCCCCTAAGATAGAGGTAGCCTTAGCAGGAAAGGTCAGTTGACTTAAATAGCTGTGGCATGCACAGCAACTTTCCTGGCCTGAGAAAGAAAACCTAAGCCATGAAGGATGACGTGCAGCTATTGCTACCTATGGTCGGGCGACAGAAAGGGAGACTCACAAGCATTTGTTAGACATCTTCTGTGCTCCCGACTCATGTGCGTTTGCACGTCCACATAGTGGCCTTACTCAGCCCTGAGGGCTGTACATCATTATAATCATGTTATAGGTGATGAAAAGATTAAGTGACTTGCCCAAAGGTAATGGTATTAGGCATTTCTCCTTCCCTGACTCAGTGCTATCATAGATGTGGTGCTATGGCGCTAAAAAGTGTAGATGTTTGTTCTTTTAGAAATATCATAAATGCGTGATTTAAAAAAACTGTAGATAAAAACAGTCACAATGTTTCCTAGTCTTGTCTCGAGCAAGTCACGACCATCAGTACTTGTAAACCTTTCCAAGAATAGTCTATGAACACAACCAGATAAGAATGTGTGTGTTCTTACACACACACACACACACACAGTAAAATACAATATGCTCTTTTGCACCTTGCTTTTTTAACTTAACAATACAACTCCAATTTCTCTATCAGTACACATAGATCGTCATTATTGTTAGCAGCTGCATAATTCATATGAATAAACCAAATTTATTTAAACCATTGGTCCCATTAGTTTGCTAATATAAGCAATGAGGCAATGATCTTTCCTGTACATGTTTTTATGCACATATGCAAGCATATCCATTCCTAGAAGAAGACTTGCTGGGTCAAAGGGATATGTGCTTGGCAAATAATGATCTGCAAATTGCCCTCCTAGAAGGATTCCCAATTTTCACTTCCTCTAACATTACCTGAGAGACTGCCAGTGATTTCAACCTGCCAGAAAGGTTCAGAACATCTTTCTCTGCTGTGTCTGACTGAACCAGTGCCCAGACCCAGGACTTCTGTTTTTAAGTCTAGTGTTTATTTTCCCTTTTATGCAAAAGTTACCTTCCATATAGACATGGTCTAAAGGAGGTGGGAGAAAGTCAAATTTTAAATGAAATTTGAAAGGATAATGTCACCATCTTTATAGGTTAGCTCCTAGGAGTAAATCAAGCAATACAAACTTATGAACAAATCTCTGAACAATCTGAGTGCCAAAGCCCAGCCCCATTTCTGAGTCTCATTAAGTCCAATGCTTGCATGGAGCTACTTTAAAAAGTTACCTTGTCTCCACTGGATCTCCTGAATGCCCTCCCTGGGCCTCACTGGGCTTGTCTGGCTGGCAATAGTTCCCTGTGTAGATTCAGGAAGCTTTGCCTGCCTTCCCTAAAGCCTATTCTCCAAGAGTGAGGGGCCTTGTGTCCTTCCACTCAACTAGTTTGCAAGATGAAAGTGCTTAGAGCACTTCTTTGATTCATGCCATGAAAATGGGAGGGGAGCCCTAGCTGGTTTGGCTCAGTGGACAGAGCGACCACCTGTGGATTGAAGGGTCCCAGGTTTGATTCTGGTCAAGAGCACATGCCTGGGTTGCAGGCATGATCCCCAGTAGGGGGCGTGCAGGAGGCAGCTGATCAATGATTCTCTCATCATTGATGTTTCTCTCTCTCCCTCTCCCTTCCTCTCTGAAATCAACCATATATATATATATATATATATATATATATATATATATATATGTATATATATATATATATATATGTATATGTATAAATATATATATTTAAGTTTTAGAAGCGATGGAACACAATCTGATTTAGGTTTTTAAAAGACGACTTTCCTTGCTGCGGGGAATACATTCTGTAGAGCTTAGAGTGGAAGGAGAACGACCATTTGCAAGGCTAAAGCAGACGTGAGAGAGGATAGTGACTTGAAGTGGGAATGCGACGGTGGCGCCAGGAACACAGAACTCTCGGGTTGGCTTGGAATATTAGAGGACCATCTCTTCCATGGGTGTAATGTTTGAGGAGAAAGTGTGTGTGTGTGTGTGGGGGGGGGGGGGTGAAAGGTAGTTCTCAGTCTAGTGGCTCCCCACCAATGAAAAACAAATAGCATACAAATAAGTCCTCGGCCTTTTGAAAAGCAAAACTTACACGTCCAGGGAATACATTGGCAGCGGGGAGGTGTGCTCTTCAGGGCCAGTTCTAGAACGCATTTTTCCCAGGGACAACATACTTTGCTTCCATATTCCTTTCGTTGTTTGCACCTCTTTTCCCCCTGCCTTTCATCTAGAAGATGCCCTGGGCTGCCTTCTAGCTCCTACCAGATTAGAAGCTGGAAGTGGGAGGCCCGGGAAGCTGAGAACCATCATGGAAAACTCAGGCTGTTTGTTTTTCTGCTTAATCCGTCTGGTTATTTTAGCCCCGATGGCAGCTCCTTCAGAATGTGAGCCACTCATCGCCCTTCCAGTGAAGTCTTTTCAGATCAGAAAGGGAAGCCATCTGGATAGGACACCCTCCCTGGGAGACCTTCCTTCCTCCCTTTTCTCCCGGCCCGCCCCCGCAGAGGGTCACGCCCCAACCCGTTTTAGTGAGAAATGCCCACTGGAAGCTTCCACTTCGTAAAGAGAGAAAACCAAGGCGCCGAGAAGCTGCGCTGAGCGAGGTAGGTAGGAATCACTTCCCGGAACAAGGAAGGAAAAAAGAGGCTTTTCTGGGGGGTGAAACATAGCTTGCCTGAGAGGGAGAAAACAGACAGCTTCCCTGAGTGAGGAACAAAGAACGCGCTTTTCTGAGGTAGGAACAGCCTCCCGGAGGTCAAGACGGCTCCCGGAGGGAGAAATCTGAGGTGGAGGCAAAAGCACCGGCAGCAAGAACACGGGTTCTAGAGTGAAGCTGAGGCCACGCCACAAAAAGGAAGTTAAACAAAAGAACGGGCTCTGTTACCCCTGTCACTCGTACAGAAAGGGGAGACCCTAGCAGCAGGTGACACAGTTCGCGAACCAGGCTTACCCTAAACACCGAAAGCGAACTCTACTGAGACACACGGGACCGGGACCGGACGGGACACTGCCTCTTATAGAGGAAGTTCCCTCCCTCCCAAATTTCCAATTGGTCCAGTTTTATGCAAATATAGTTTCAAAATTGGTCCCAGTTCTGATTGGTCGGAATCATGCCATTCTGGTTGGTTGTTATGGAGTAGCTCTGACTGGTCGGTTTCGATGCAAATGAGGATCTAGCTGTGCAGTTCTGATTGGATGGGGCAGGTCTCAGCTCATTGGTTAAAAGACAAAACCAGGGCTTCCCTGCAGTGGTTGACTCAGAGTAACATACTGGTACAGTGAGGGGAGGGTTTGGGGGGAGCTGAGGGGGGGAAGGAAGGGGGAGGAAGACTTCAGTCTGAAATTCTTCCCTGTATGCAGAGTACAGGAGGAGTCCTTGTCAGCAAATGGGCCCTTGGTTGACCATGAAGCGTTCATCTCAGCAGATAAATTTCCACCTGGGGTTCACATCAAATGATTCTTTCTTCTCTGGATCCATACTTTTCATACCAGGAGGCACTCAGGAAGACTCAGTGTCCAACCAAGAGCTGATTTCCAGCTGCCAGCGTCAAAAAGCAAAAGTCCTCTGTTGCTAGAGCACGTTGCTAGGGAACGAAGAACCCAGTGTTGCTTTGATGTGTGAAGTGATTTGTGTCAGGATGTCATTATCCCACCTCGCTGTTATGTAAGAATGAAGTAAGTCATGTCATGATGTCATCATTCTACATCTGCTGTCATTGATAAGCAGTCAGCAGCCCATCTGTGGGTCCACTGGGGTCTTATCTATAATGAACACATGGAGAAGCAACTATGGCAAGGGGACGTTATAGCTATAAACACTGGGAGTTTGTGAGGGATATTTGAGACTTTCCGTCTGGGCCAGGTGACCCTTCCCTAACCTAAAAACTCCTCCAAATACCTTTGGGGCATTCTTTCGAGTCTTGGCGAGACATTTCTTCTGGATGGTGGTGATATGCCTCATCTGAAACGGCTAGAAAGCGACCAGCCTGCCTACCAGCATTGGCGTCTCTGTTCCCTAGCAACGTGCTCTAGCCACAGAGTACTTTTACTTTTGCGCTGGCAGCTGGAAATCAGCTCTTGGTTGGACAGTGGCTCTGCTGAGTGCCTCCAAGGATATAAAGGTACACATCATATTAAATTTGGACTCTATTTCTTCACCTCCCCTTGCCTCGAACTATAGTGTGATTAATCTGTCATTTGTTGGGAATATGTTATTTCTTTATTTTGCTTATTAAGAAATATTATCCTGCATGCTAGTGTCTTGTGAAAGTCGTACAGCGAACCTGTGCTAGATGAATGACTGGCAAATACAAACTCAGTTACTGAGCATAACTTTTGCTGCCTCCCCCAAACAAAATAAAAACAAAACACCTGTCTTTGACCTCTACTCCTGATGTCTATCCAACTTCTTGGAAGCGGGCTGTAGTGGGCTATATCATCTTCTGAAATTCAAAAGAAAAAGAAAAAAAGGCTTCCCACTGGGGCTTCCTCACTCACCAGCTCATGTAGTCAGCACGGAGGCTGGGTGAATGGAGACAATGTCTTGCTTGTTTGTTTTCCACAAGGAACACTGAGTACTGCGCCACACCAGGCTGCTGCAGTCTCCAACAGGGACACCAGTGGGCCCTGGGGTGATGCCTGCAGGCAGCTGGCACTCAGGGACCTCCTCCACAGACTGTGAACTAAAGGCTGCCCCCTCGCCAGTTAAAAGGAGAGCTAAAGAACTCTTCAGGTTGCATAGCCCGTCACGGGAGACCGAGAACATAGGAGCAAGAATAAATGAAATGGTCTCCCTCAGTCTCCACTCTCCCCTCTATTTTTTCTTCTCTCCCGTCTCCTTCTCCTTCCTTGCTCTCTTTCCCATTCCCTCTCCATTTCTTTGATTGTTCTTCCCCTCCCACTCTGTTATGACCTCTAAGTTGGCTCAGCATCGCTGTTCAAGATCTTAGTTATATAATATGGCTTATAAAAGCAAAATAACTCTGCTGCCTGCCATGCCAGGCTGGGCAAAACCAGAGTGAAAAGAAAACACCTGGTGCTTGGCACCTCTCGGCTTCTTGGACTCTTTGCAAGGCGGATCAGCAGGAGAGGGCTTACATGTTCCAAGTGCACCAAGTGTATCTAAGTCTCTCTTGAGACCAACTCAGTCCGGGGAGAGAAAAAAAAAAACATGTCAGAGACAAGGGAGGGAGTGGGTGTTGGTAGAAACTCAATGGTTACATAATGTGAGGACTAGAGCAAGACTCTTCCATTCCTTCCACCCTTTGTCACTACCTCTGAAATTCTCAGGCAGCACTTTCCTAAAAACTTTGCAATATCCCCATTCATTTAGTAGCCCCTGGAAATGTTTATTGGGTTTTCAATAGTTGTGTAGACAAAAGGGCAGGGACATACAAATATTTTCATACTCCTAGAAGTGACTTACTTTAACATTGTCCCCAGGTGATGTCCCTGGGTCCAGATCCTGATTAAGGCAGAAATATTAATGTGGCCCTCTTGGGTTCCCTCCTGGGATTGCCGTGGCAAGAATATAGAAATCTTTGGGAGGCTAATTGCCCATCAATCACACCTGGAAACAGGTCATTGGACAGATGGGCATGGCCACTGCAAGCGCTCAAAATCTAAATATGTAAACTCTCCAACAAAGGAAGCTCAGCCCTTCTTCTTTCTCTTGGCTCCAGGGTCCTGGGCCCTCTTGAGACTCCTGCTGCAGGGGGCAGTGCGCCCCTGTGCACACGTGGCACCCCACCATGTTGGATTTCACACGTGGATTAATGGACTTGAATCTGGCCTGAAAGCTAAACCACACACCTGGCTGCAACATGGAACAGAAACTCTGGATGCTGGCCTAGTTGCTGACTCTATTGAACACCCAATGCCCCTCTTCAGGACCGGCTTAGGGGAAATGGGACATTGCAATCATGCCAATAAAATCTTCTACCGCCTCTCATCCTCCCGTGGGGGGGCTTCTGAAAATGCTGATTTCAGCAGTGCCCCAAGAACCCCACAAACAATGGAGGATTCCCACGTGTGTACCCCTCCAGCAGCAATAGGAGGAGTAGAGACATGAAGAGGAAGAAAATAATTTCCATTCACTTGACCTCTTCATCCATAGGCTTGCACGAAAACACCAACAATAGTGCTTAGCTGGCCCCCGTTTTATTTATTAAATTTGGAGTATCTTGAATGCCTTTTCCATTTAATGTCTATAGAGCAGTATAATGTGGTCACAAGGGAGCAGTTACTCTGAATTTTTACTGAAGTCAGTAGGTCTGCTGACTAGGCCACGTGGTGGAGGAGCTGAGCAAGCTGAGGCGAGTTACAATCTCAAGACAATGCAAATAAGTCCATCTGAGACCCATGAGAAAGAGGACAACTTGCTGAGGTCCCAGCCACTTATAAATGCAATTAATCAAATGATAACAGGAAGTGCATGAACACTTCCTCTGTAATATGGGACTAGGATATCATCCACCCCCTTGTATCAGAGGGGCTCTGAGAAATGAATTAGAGACAAATAGTTGACAGTGCCCAAGAACCTTCTGTCTATAAAGCCCTGGAAAGGGCAGAATTAGAAAGGGTTGGCAGTAGAGCCATGCTTTAACAATAATCGTAACTTCTATGCTCCGCCTCCTTGTTCCTAGTGACAGGTTCCCAACCCAATGAATTCGTTTTTGTGTACAGCTTCTGGAATAGATATTCTTAAGTTCCTTTCTCCTTTATAAGATACTATAACCTTGGCAAAACGTTCATGTAGGATACCTGTGTTATGTACCTATTGTGTGTATTTATATTGTAGTATATTTAGTATATTTATATTGTACATATGGGTATGAGCATTTATCTGAATATTATAAAATCAAACATGACTTAAAAATATATTGTTATTGATTCCAGAGAGGAAGGGAGAGATAGAAATGATGAGAGAGAATCATTGATCGGCTGCCTCCTGCACGCCCCACACTGGGGATTAGAGCCTGCAACCTGGGCATGCGCCCTGACCGGGAATCGAACTGTGACCTGGTTCATAGGTTAATGCTCAACCACTGAGCCATGACGGCTGGGCTCAAATATGACATTTTAAAAAATGAGTGTCGGTGATTGAACTACAAGCTATAAAATGCCAGGGCTCTGATCAGCCCAACCATTTACAGTAGCAATGTACCTGAAGCCTCCGGAATTATATGACGAATTGCCACTTTATATTAGTTATAACTCATAAAGCAACATGAGGCTCCTGGCAGCACACCTTCAACCAGAATTAACCAAGACAGCAGTCATTAAAAGCCCAGGGAAACAGAACTTCGCTTAGTGCCATGACTGGGTTGTTGAAACACAGCCAAAGCACTAAGACCTCTTGTTGGAGGGTTTGACACCACCCGATAGAGTTAGTTGCAGGCATAGAGCTCACAAATCTGATACTGAACAGTAATTTACTAAGCAAGCACTGCCGGCAATGTGACAGGTCTGGGGATACAGTCCTGAGAAAGAAAAGGAGGATTCCTGCCTTCACGAAGTTGTCAGAAGGTTCTATTGAGTGATGAGCTTTCTTTGGGACAGCAAGTTACTGGGCAGACTTTGCGCCTTATTGGTATAAGGGCCGAGCAGTAGCAGGAATTACCTAAGAGCAGCCTTTGATGAGATTGGTGAAACCCCAGAACCAAACGTTGGCTTAGGAACTTCTTTCATCCACTCCATGTGCCATTCTACCTGGGAGCGCCCAGCAGTGACCATCCAAGGAACTCCCAGGAATCTTCTCTTAGCTCCCTGGCATTCCTGTTAGCGTGTGCAGTCATCCTTTAGCTCTTCTCCTATGACTGGCAGGATGAAATGAAGGGAATTTATGTTTAACATGGAGAGTTCCTTTTGTGCAAATTGGCCTCTGTCTCTTTAAGGCTGAAGGCTTGGCTGTCATTGTTTAATCTCACTGATAAAGTTATCATGTAACCCAGTGTCTGTTAAATGAGCTATAAAAAACACCTTTGAAATACAAGAGAAGTGCATTGTGACCTGCAGGTCACATCGAATTCTAGGCAGGAGGGTAGGGAAGGAAATACCCTCGTTGCTTCCACCTAAATTCTGATCAAATTACTCTAGAATTCTTTGTCACGTAATCTTCGTCAGGGAATTGGTTTCAATGAGCAAAAAATCAAAGTGCTCAAGTCACTGCCTCAGTCTAGGGCCCGCGCTGTGCAGAGCCCAAGCACTGCAAGGCTGACCCAGCGAAGAGAAGACGAAGAGCTTCAGTTGAAATAAGAACCACCACGTAATCTATCAGTGAAACCAGGAAGACACTGATAGGGGGGGCGCTCTTAATAATCACGCTGAAGCAGTAGGTGCAAACTGGGACTAGACCCAGCAAACTCAGAGGTAAGATCACCCATCCTACTTTGAAAATCAAATTGTGCCTGGAGCCAACCATCCTCAAAAAATCTAAAAAAAAAAAAAAAAATATATATATATATATATATATATATATATATATATATACACACCAAAGACTGGAGCAAACTAGTCACCTGCCCAAAGAAAACTCATTTGTTCGCTGTAACAGGCCCCAGTTAACTCCGAACTGACTGAGGACACCACCTTTAAAAACAGAAATATGAACAAAGTGTGGTCATTACTACTGGCCACAATACCCGACACCTTAGGTTCAAGTGTTGGATGAGTAAGTGGTTTTGCTAGAAATGTGTATAACACTATGGCGCCGGAGGGAGCTCCTACCGGCCTGAGGTAGAAATGAACTAAGGCAGGTATGAGCCAGGAGGAGGTGGAAGAACTTCCAGGTAAAGGGACCAAGAGCAAGGGCACGGAGGTGTCACAGGAGCTTTTGGGGAATCATAGGCAGCTCGCTGGTCTAGTGCAGTGGTCGGCAAACGGCGGCCCCTTGGGTGTGTGGCTCTTCCACAAAATACCACGTGCGGGGGCGCACATACAGTGCGATGGAAACTTCATGGCCACACTCAAGGGGCCAAAGAGCCGCATGTGGCTTGCGAGCCGCAGTCTGTCGACCACTGGTCTCGTGCAAGGGAAGGCCCATCCGGGGCATTATGTGGGCTGGCTGACCCTGAGCACACCCAGCCTCGGAAGGCTTTAACCAGGATAGCAACGCGGTCAATATTTGCCATTTAGATGAATCACTGGCAGCTGGGCAGAGGATGAAATCGAGACCAGTTAACAACACAAATACTTCAGGCTGCTATAAAATTATGGCAGGAGTGGTTCAAAACAACGTGACAGTGTGGTAGGTCAGAGCCCAGCTCTGAGGCCAAGGGGTTGGGGTGGAGGGTTGTACTCTATTATGTCTCTAGGGCTGAGATATGTCTTCATCCAGAAATGCCAAATACCCAAAGTACAAGGAAGAGTTGTTCAGCAATATGGCTCGATTTTTAATTCCAAAAACAGGTAAACTTGAACTTATTTGGCCTCTTAAATACTCATGCCCCCCCCATCCCCCTTTTTGGCAGGAGAGGGAATGAAATGGCACACAGGGATTTAAAAGAAGCAAGTCAGAAGATATAAATGTTAGCTTGATTTAGAGCTGCTCTGGGCAGTTAACAGTTTGTTTACAACGAGGAGTTATCTAACCCTGAACATACTGTACATGGTAATGAGACGTCGTCACGGCAAAAAAAACCACAGCCAGCTTGCTGCCCCAGCCAACACAAAAACAGCCAGGAACAGTAGGGATGAAGGTGGGGTTTGTTTGTTTTTTATTATAAAAGAAAAAAATAACTCCTCAGTATCTTAACGAACGAAAAGGAATATTTCACACTCAGAACAGACACCAGGATACAAAATTACAAGTGTTTAACCCCAGTCTTGTCCCCCTCCCCTCTAGGAGCAGACAGGAAGGAGACAGTGGAAGCAAACAAGCAATTCTGTAAGAGACTTCAAATCCCTACAAGTATGATTAAAATCTAAACTGGTTTTGCTTTAAAAAAAAAATTTTTTTTTAATATATCAAAAGGCCTGCTTTAGTGACATGCTAGTCCCCCAGAACATAACCCAATACCCCCCTTGTCAGTAACATACATGCTCAAGTTGACCAGCCAACTCATAATTCTAAACCCCTGTGCATACATGTGTCTTTATAATCCAAAGCCAAGGGGCTCAGGTGACTGTTATTTGCTCCTGTTAGCCGACCCGTGTCCAGAAGGACAGGCAGGGCACAGAGAAACCCTTAAATGGTAGTGAGTGTTTAACAGCCCCGACGAGCCAACTTCTTGAGCACTGCCACCCTCACCCCCTCCCCTCAAAAGGTGAGCCTTATTTCTAATCAGACTTCTCGCCTCAACTTTGGCTCCCAGCGACCAGAACGGGTTTTGTCCTTTAGAAAAAGCACACAGATCTGCACACCCATATATATAATTTTTTTGTTTTTGCATTTAAATATAAAAATACTACTCTGATTTGTGTTATAAACGGAGGACCAAGCAACGAGAACTTTTTCTTCGAAGGTAGGGTTACCCATCCCATCCCTTTATGCCGAGCTTGCCTTCCAGTGAGGGCGCTCAGCCCCAGGCTAGGGAAGCAGGTCACTGCGAAGGGGTCACAGTTGGCAGGTAAGAGGGCTTCCTGCCTGCTGCCCCGCCCCCCCCTTTCCTAATTCTCACTTTCATTAGAAAGCTGCTTATAACCTTTTATGGAACTTCCCAACCAAAGGGAGTTTCTAATCTAGTCACAGAGCAAGCCCAGCACTCCTACCCCCTTCAGCTACCTCAAAGAAGAAAAAGGCCCTTCCCCTCCCTTCACAAATACTATGCTCACTGTCCAGATAGCTACGCCTGTTGGACAAACACCTGATTAAGTGAAGCAGTGGTTATGTTTCCCCGCCCCCTCCCCACTAACACACTAGAAAGCTTCAGTGATAGGGGAAAAAAAGGGTGTGTGTGTGTGTGTGAAGAGACTAAGAACTTGACCCCGCTAACCTGGCCAAAGAAAGCAAGAGATATTAACTGGGCAGGAGGAATAAAAAAAGACCTTGATATTCTGCCCTTTTGAGTTACATTTGTTATGACAATTGAGGGGCGAGAGTGGGCGCGGGATGAAGAAGTGATTAGAAGGAGCTGGATGGCTGCAAGTCTAGTCCACTTAGTTTTTGTACTGGAAGGGCTCATCGCCAGTTTCGTTGAGAAGACACGTGCGGATGAGGGCTTCCGTCACTGCAAAGGGGTCGCAGTT